TAAAAAGTGCCATAAAGAAAACATATATATATATACACATACATATATATATGGGGGGGTCTTTTTGAGACAGGGTCTCCCTGTAGCCCCACCTGTCTTGGAACTCACTATGTAGACCAGGTTGGCCTTGAACTCACAGAGATCCGCCTGCCTCTGCCTCCCGAGTGCTGGGATTAAAGGCGTGCACCACCACTATTTTTTAATGTAGTGGGAAATGATTTGTAGGTTTGCTACAGAGAACTGGATGAAGAAAGTGTCATTAATTTTTTATGGACAAGTAAATAATAGGGGTTATAGCTTTTACGAATATGTGTAAAGGCCTATACCTTTAATCCCACCACTCTGGAGACAGAGGCAGGAAGATCTCTGTGTTCCAGGCCAGCCTGGTCTACATAGCAAGTTATAGGCCAGCTAGGGGATACATAGTGATACTGTGCCTCAAAAAACAAAGAAACAAACAAACAAAAAAAACAAACCAAAACAAAAAACGAAAAAAGAAACCAAAACAAAAATCCCACCTTGTGTCTATAATATAACCAGCTTTAAGTTATTGGATCATGTTAAGTAATTCAATATCTGATTTCGCATTTTTATTGAATACTTTCACTGTATAATATATTGTATTATATGAAGTTATATGTAATATTATCTGTCTCGGAGATTAGGTGGCAAAGTTTTTTATGAATTTCTTATCATCTATGCAAAAATGTTTGACATTTTGTTTTGCAAAAAGTTTGTTCAGAGATTCCAAGCCAGTAAGAACCTGGCTGACCTATGTTTACTGAATTGAACTGGAGACACCGTGTTAAAGAAACTGAACATAAAACCAAATCCTAAGTAAGGGAGGATTCCAATAGTATTGGAGACTCCTATATACTAGCCAATTTGTCCTGCAGTGATCACAAATGGGAAGGCTTTACTAAGGTGTTATATGACATATCTATAATTAAAACAAATGTGACTTCTAACTGCACTTTGGTAACTGCCAATAATCAGAGCTGCTTTAAAAGAGAAAACAGTGATGCAAATTTGGTGTGAAAGTGCCTAGCAGTGGATTACCTGAACACCTGGAGAGATACCTGTTGTTATTTTTTAACAGGTATTGTTCGTTTAGATCACAGCATTCAAAAGTGCCTTTTTGTTTTGTTTTTCTTTGTTGTTGTTGTTTTGTTTTTAAAGCAGTTATTCCTGAAGTATTCCAGTGTTGACACTAGAGTTTGTTAAGTAACTCCTATGTACCTTTCACTGTTTTTTCTCTACCTTTTGAAATATTGACATCTTTTATGATTTCAGGCTTATGTTAACTGATTGTATTTGAACAGATTATACCCAAGTAAGTTCTGTCCCAAGTTCCCTGTTAGCTACTTCCTCAATATAACTTTTCTATATTTTCTGATCCATAAATACCAAGAAATAGTTGTTTATGCCTTCCAACATGAATAGTAGCACTGTACTTAGAGTTCGGGGGTCCTATATTTGTTTTAGCTTTTGCCATCAGACTGCCTAACCATAAAGGAAGTCATGAGTAGCCATTTTCTTCAGCCTTTGTTTTGCTTGAATCTCCTGGGATACATCCTGATCCCCAAAGTAGCTAGCTCACTGTGATCAATTCTCAAATGAAGTTGTTATGAGGTAGTATAAGAATCCTCCCTACTCTGCCCCAGCTTCTCATAGGAAGGACTTTGCAGAAAATCATTGCCTCGAAGGCTGAACCCTTAGTCATTGCCCCGCTTCCTCTTCCTCTTCCTGTTCGTTGAGAATTTGATATATGCATATAATGTGTTTTTATCAAATCCATCCCTCATTCCCTCCCTTCAAGTTCCTCTCTTATACCCCCTTTTTTTCTCCAAAATTCATGTTCTCTTGCTCTCTCTCTCTCTCTCTCTCTCTCTCTCTCTCTCTCTCTCTCTCTCTCTCTGAGATCTCTTAGTAATGCTTAGTGTGTGCATGGATTTAGGGCCATCTCCTGGGACATGGGTAGCTCTCAGGAGCTGCATCCCTGAGGAAAACATCAGGGAGTTTTTCTGACTTGACCTAGTACAGTGCTTGTGTATGCATTCCCTACTGCTTTTAGTACATTCTTATTACTATTTCCAAGTAGAATATTTGAACATCTTCAAATAAAGTTGACAAAGTAGTCATAATTCCAAAATAAGGGCTGGAGAGATACCTCAGCCTTAAAAGCTAAGGCTAACAACCAAAATATGTCCTCAAAGGCTAACTACACAGCCAGGCATTTTACATGTGATGGGAGTGTTACAAAACTGAGACTCATTTTCAATTAAAAGGTAATTGTGAATGCTTCCAAAGTTTATGCAAGTAGGAACATCTCTAGTGTAAAAATTGATGTCTCTATTTATTGTTGGAGATTACTCATTCTCCACTGAAGATTTACTCACAGGACTCCACTGAACGTGTTTCCAGAAAAATTACATCCACATTCCTTCTTGTGGTAACTTGTGAAATAAACTTAAAAAAAATATATTTTACTTGTCATTTTTATTTTATTTGTATGTATATATTGCCTGCATGTAGGTAGGTGTACCAAAGTCATGCAGGGCTCATGGAGATCAGAAGATGGTGTTGAATCCTCTAGAACTGGAGTCACAGACTATTGTTAGCCGCATGTGGGTGCTGGGAATTGAACCCAGGTCCTCTTCAAGAGCAGCCAGTGCTCTTAATTGCTGAGCCATCTTTCCAGCCCCTGAAATAAACTTTTGAAACTTATAGAACTTGCTGTGACTTTCAACTAGAATTTAAAAACAAAGACAGTATCCTTAGAAATGTCATCATCTACTTTGGTAAATGCTACGTTTTATTAAATTCACTTCAAAACAAATATTTTATTGATTGATGAACATAAATTTATACTGTATAAGTTGTTGAAAGTTAACAGGCAGGTATTAAAAAGCACTAAGAGGCCTGGCAGATATGAGAAGAAAGGTGGAGGGTTGACTGAAACAGTACATGTAAACAAACATGGAGAATCTCTTATGGTAGAGCTGAGGGAAACATCATTTCGATAAGAGATTTGATGCAAAAGTCATTGACTCATATTTTCACTGGATAGTTATGAAGTATGTTTGTGGGATTTAATGACCACTTAACCCTGGCCTCCATTGATTAATTAAATATTGGATATTTGATGAGTGTTGGGCTCTGTTTTAGGCACTAAGGGTGTTGAATGAATCCATGTGGTTTGTGGATTTGCATAGTATCAAAATGCAAATGTGGCTCCTAATTGGGGATACTTTTAAAAAATAGAGAATGATTTCCCCCCTTTAGTTTGTATGTCTTCTGTTCTTTCTAACTATTTGCCATTCTGCTCTGCCTACTTTAGCACTCCCCACCCTGCCTCAATTGAAAACTAAAGCAACAAATCAACCAAGATAATACAGAATTGTTTGTATGGTAACATAATCAGTAAGATAAACTTTGAGGCAGAAGACATTGATTCTCTTCTAACAAATTCATTGAAAATATTCAGCTATTTAAAATTAAACTTATGATAGAGATCATTTTTCTTTTTAAATTTAGACAGATTGTCTTATCCAAGGCTAAATAAGTAGTAGCTAAACTGGCACCCTAAGACATCTTCTGTCCCATTCCATATACTTTATTTTAAAAACAATGATTTATTTATTCTTTCACAATATCATACATATATATGTATAATGTACTTTGGCCATATTTCACCTCATTATTCTGCTTATCCCTCGCCCCTTCTCACTGAACCCCTTTTTGCCAACTACTTACCCTCCCTCCCTCCCTCCCTGTCTCCCTCCTTCCCTCCCTTCCTCCCTCCCTTCCTTCCTCTTTATGTCTTTTTTTCTTTTAAATATTTTA